TATTTTTTTACAATATTTTTAATAAAAATGATAAATAAATTTAAAATAATAAAAAATTTCAAAATATTTAAACACAAATATTTATTTAAACCTAAACTTTTTATTCCTTATATTAACTTATTAATAAGATTTTAATAATTTCAATACCTAATTCCCACTTTTGAATGAGTAAACGGATCTAGAAAATATGAACCTCTTTTCACATTTTCTGGTCATTGATGGTGGGCAGCGAGGAAGCTTCCTGGAAGGACAACTAGAAGTGAAGGACTCAATCTTTCCTCTATCTTTAGCAGGTAGGGGCCCATCAAATGAGGCTGGAAGTAAAAGACATGAGCAAGTGGGGTGGGTATTGGATTGGTCCTTTCCTTGCTCTTACAGACTCACATGATGCCGGCTTGGACACTTCTAAATTTATCAGAGGTGGTCCTACGTAGTAATGAGACTGGGCCATGTCCCCACATGATCAAGATCAACTCCTAAAATTGCTCAGTTAATGACTAAAATTAAATAATAAAAATGATGTAAGATCTTAAAGTTAATGACTAAAATTAACATTTAATATTTTTTTTTAAGAAATTACATACGAAACAACCCTTAAAGTAAGTTTCAATTTGAAAATTTCCTACCACGGAAGTAACATATAAAAATGTTGTTTTCTCTTAGCCAAAGTCAACATTGTCTTGTCTTAAGATAGGTACTGACTAGCCATTGCCCTTACTTCACACAGACTTGAAACAGCCATTGCCCCTACTTCATGCAGACTTGAAATCTCTATGGAAATTTATTTGTTTTGCTCGGATTGACAGTGACCAGGTTGGAGAGACATTTGCCCATTGGGAAGATAATTAGTGGTACCTTACATGTTTAATATTTTTTTAAATTAAAAACATTAATTTATTAATTTTATAAACCTTCACGCATTTAAGTCACTTATCATTTTTTTCCTTTCGGGATTCTTGTCATTCGCCGTTCACACTCCCTTCAAAATTTCATATTAAATTTTTATTTTTTAAATTTCATTTTCAATTTTTACCTTTTAATACGTATTTGTTATGGGTACAACCTTATATAAGTATATTCATTACAAGTTTACATTATATTTATGAAAAATATGTATATCAATTTTAATTCTTAAAAATAATTGAAATCTTAATTTTATATTATATTAATTTATTTAATTAAAATTCAATTTAAAATTTAAAAAATTATCATATTAAATATTAAGATTAAGATTTAAAAATTGAGTATATTAGAATATATAATGATTTTTTAAATTTAAATATTAACATTTAATATATGAGATTTTAATTTTAAAATATAAGTTGAAACTTTAATTATTTTATAAAATCGAAATTGATATATACTAACTTTTATATTTATTATGTAATTTGCTCTTATATCACTTATTTAAAAAAATCTAATCTGATAGAAAAAATTAGTAGTTCATAATATGTTTTTTGTTCTTTGATGAAATAACTCATAAAATGTTCTAACATATCTTAGAACCAAAAAACTAATACTTTAATTTCATAAACATATTTAAACCACTTATTGCTCTCTTAATTTTCCCAAGGGAGACTCTTATTCTTCTAAGGCCAATGAGAACAACTTACCATCAAAATCAAGATACTGGAATAGTAGAAACAAGACCCAAACTCATGGTCAACACGATATTTGATTATGTCGTTATTTTTTTTTCTTTTTGAAAATAGGTAATGGATGATTATGTCGTTATTGGCATTTATGTGCTCGAGTCTATTGTCACCTTCTCGCCTTCCTCAGCGTTCAAGCGCCTCCATCTTTGACTGAAATTGAAACACCATTATAAGAAGAAATTGGAGCTACATTGCTTCAAGCCAAAAAACAAAAGAAAAAAAAATGGAGAAAAAATGGGTTGGAGCAAATAAGCTCGGCTAGATTTGTTTGCATTCATTTAGATATTAATTGCAGCAATATTACTTATATAATTTTATTTGTATAGTATTATGTTAAATATTGAGGTATAAATAATTAATTTATGGTAGATTATTGTATAATTATATACTATAATATTTTAAATTTATTTTTTATTCTATTAATTTCTATAATTATTTATTTTATATTCTATTAATTTTTAGAATTATTTAGTATTTTTTAAAATTTATTTGGTATTTAATTCATTGGATATTTGTTCAAGATTTTTTTAAAAATCCAATGAGTATTTATTAATAAAAATTTTAAAGTCTAATAAGTATTTATTTAAAAATTTTAAAAAAATTATTATCACAATAATTTTATATATAATTAAGATTACATTGCACCTAATTTTTTTGCTACAAAAATTTAATTTTCAAAACCAAGCCAATCTATTTTAATGTGACTTCCCCAAATCCATTTTTTTAAAAGAAATACATACCAAACAACCCTTAATGCAAGATTCAATTTGGAAATTTCCTACCAAGGAAGTAGTATATAAAAAGTTATTTTCTTTTAGCCAAAGTCAAGGTTGTCTTGTTTTAAGAGTAGCTGCTGATTAGCCATTGCCACCGCTCCATATGGATTCAAAATTTCTATGGGGGTTAATGTCTACTGTCGTCCCTCTACTATAAAAAAAAGTTCAATTTAAACCTTCTATTTTCAATTCATCTCATGTGCTTCCTTTATTATTAATTAACTATACATGTCCGGTGTTTTTGGGCCAAGCTGGCCTAATTGGTTGAATTAGTTCAACCGGACCCAGGTTTGAAAACGAGCCAATTACATACCTCAGCTCGTTTTGTCAAATGACCCGTTTTGACTCGCTAAACCTTGCCCCACCTGCTAGGCTCATTGAATCTGTGTAGCTTGCTCCAAACGATCAAGCTAAAATTCTATCCATCTCTTTTAACTTTTTTTTCTAATTTTTAATGTATTCTACCCATTCTATCCCATCCATACACAGAAATTAGAAATTAAAAGATCAAATGAAAAAAACCCTAAGAAATCATTAGGAAATAAAGGAAACTCTTTACAAAAACCCAGAATAGAAGAAAGTAGAAACAAAACAAAGCAACCACTGACGAGCTCCAAATCTCATATCTCAGTCACCTTCGTCGATGGCTCCACAGCTCACCATCCAACCCTTCACTGCTCACCTTCCTCTCCTTCCTCCACTAGACATAAGTAGCAAAGCAAAACAAAACAGATCATCCTCATCAGCCTCATCTCCTCCACCAATCGCCTCTTTCTCCTTCCTCCATTGAACAAAAGCAACAAAGCAAAACAAAAGTTATAGAATAGATCGTCCCCCAAAAGCACCAACAGAACAGATTTTACATCTACCTCATCTCCTCAACTGCTTCCCTTCTTTTCCTACCTCCACTAAAAGGAAGTTGTACTAGAAATCAAAATTTGCCTCATCTCCTCTATAATAGCTCACCTTTTCAATTTTATATCCTTTAAGGCAAGCAGGTTGCATAATTCTAGAATTTCAATTTTACAACCTCTTAATAACTTACCAAAATGTTTGTATTGCTTGACTCATATTCGAATTCAAGCTTTTCATCATCATTTTGAGCATAAATTGATTGAAGTGTAAAATGTGTCACTAGAATTCCATTAAACCGCTATTGCTCATCCATTACAATCTACCAAAAAGTAATAAAAATAAGATTATAAGGATTATTTTTTTCAAAAATTGATTTCAGTATTAATTTTTTTATTAATAAGTATTTGTGTAAGATTTTTTTATTTATTATACTTGGACTCTTGGATATTTTGTTAATAATTATATATATATATTATAGAAAAATGTCATCCTCTAGACAAGATTGAGTTTTTCCTTATTATCATGTTTGATGAATTTATCTTATATGATGTATTTTAATATATGTTAGTTTAAATCTTAAAACTTATATGTATTTAATTAAATTTATTAATTAAAATTGCTTAAATAGTGATTTTTAAATT